ATCGTCAACAGAAAACTGATATGTCCTTAGACAAATGAATATAAGCACTTAAAAATGCTTAATCAATTAACTGAATACGCGTAAACGGGACTTCCACCTTTACCATGGCGCTACTACTAACAAAACTAAGTCGATTCAGGCAAGTCATGAAAGAATTCCATCGCAAACTACCATTTAGAAAACCCTACGGTTCATGACAAAACTTATTTTTATATTTGAATTTAAGTTACTATACTATGTGAAGAAGCTGGTCCACAGGTAAATTTTGTTATCGCAGTGGACGTATTTTGTGGTTTGTGTGTACTTTCTTTTAGCTAGACCTCATCTATTAATGTTGTTAACGTCATCGATGTATTTTGTATCGTGTGCATCCTTTTATATTTGTTTGTGAAGAAGCTGGTCCTAAGGTAAACTGAATTTGCGACAGTATACTACCGATGGACGTCCGCAAAGCTTCAAATACAATACAGTCATATCTTAATTAATTAATGAGTAGGAGGGCTGGTTTTCGTGTCTTAGATCATTCTTTTATACTGTGTCTATCATTTTAATTTTTGTTGTCTGCGTCCTTTCGTTTGTCATACAAAATTTTCGATTTGCGTTTTTTTTTTCTCGTTTTTTTTTTATTGTAAATTTTTCTTCTCTGTTATCTTACTATTAAAAGTACCCTGATTCAAATATCAGAAGACATCAGTGGTTAATGGTTTTTTTTCTAATTATTATGTTCATTTTCATCAGGTATCCATGTTTAGAATTTCAATACAGAAAAAGAAATAATTAAAGTAGCGTTTCAAATTGACTATAAGCGAATCGATATTAATGAAAATAAATACTAGCTAAGGCCGTGTTTTCACAACAGTTTAAATTAAAAGATTGATTAAACGTTGGTTTAATTCTCCCCTGCAGCAGTAAAGAGCTATATTAAGGCAACAATAGTTTACCGATGTTCAAATCTCGTCAATCGCAAATTGAATAAACAAACACTGTGTGAATAATATGATCTGCCAAAACAACGAGACTGGGTGCGTCGACAGGGTAAGCGTCTCCTGCTCTGCATGCAACACTTGGCATGCAAATCCGTACTCAGGCCAAATTTCAAGATCGGGAATAGGACAAAATCGGTAAAATTACAGATCAGACAACTATTCTGGAAATTAAAGATCTAAAACCGCAAAAAACATGTCGATAGTGAGTTGAGGCACATTCGCAACGTATAGGTTGATCAATTTGTTATGAAGACCGTAAAATGTATGTAGTGTCGATTTTATTCGTTCTTCTTATAACTCTTTTGGTGCAGTTTTTGTGTAAGAATCACACCCTTGTTAATGAACTCCGTATAGTATCAAAATCGAGGAAAAAGATCAAGATATGAAGCACGCCATTCTAGTTTCGGTAGTATCCTTAGTCTCAAATTCACTTTGATATATGAGATGTAAGCTCTAAGGGAAATATGGGTTACTGAGTGACAAGACATCATCAATATATCTGAAAGTGAAATTAACGAGCTTTCCTAGATGCACCTTTTTCTTGTCTTTAAGGCATTTCCGTATGAATTCAGCTTTATACGAGTACAAAACAAGTCGGCCAGTAGAGATGCACAATTAGTATTCATTTGAATACAGACTTTCTGTTGAAACATCAATTTAGCAATCACAACAAATATGTTGTTGATCAAAAAGTCCAGCATTGTGATGATATCATCTTCGGTGTATTTGTTGTTGGAATCAGTGTGGTTCTTCACAACGTAAGACCTTTCATGACGTTAAACATTTTTGCAGATAAAGTGCTGTTTTAATGGGACGATATAGTCGATCTTTCAATTGAGCATATGGAATAAAAGCGTAAAGCGTAGAGAATCATTTTGATATTACTTCAAAATTGTAAAAATAGCGTTTGAAGATTTTGGAGTAAATTCTTTGATTTATTAAGAATCTACATCTGATTGACACCGCTGGTTGAATATATATTATCACAATATTTTCAAAAGTCATCTTTTATTGTAGAAATACTAGTGGTAGAAAAATATTAAGTCGAACATCTTGACATCGCGGCTTTATATCGCGGAGATGAACATTGAATGAATAATATGAAATGAACATCAAATTGGTGATATAAAATGAACATGAATGTTTACAGATTGATATTTGAGTCTTGGAAACATAATATATTTATTAGTTGTAATTAGCTTTAAATTTGAACTAGCTTTCATGAACTGCAAGTGCTGTTAGTAGATAAAGGCAACAGTAGTATACCGCAGTTCGAAATTCATATATCGATAGAGAAAAAACAAATCCGGGTTACAAACTAAAACTGAGGGAAACACATCAAATATAAGAGGAGAACAAAGACACAACAGAAAAACTAAAATGCAACACACACACAGAAACGAACTATAAGATAACAATAGCCATTTTTCTGACTTGGTACAGGACATTTTAAGACAAATGGTGGGTTGAACCTGGTTTTGTGGCTAGCCAAACCTCCCGCTTTAATGGCAATGTTAAATATAACACTAAAATGACAACATTACATGACAGGACTACAATACAAATAAATGGAAGAACATACAGGACAGAGAAACACACAAATAAACAATACAATAGAACATTACGACAAGCTAATAGTTATCAAAGGTGCCAGGCCTAAAGATGAAGAGTAGGTTTGTTTTGTGATTTTGATGAGTCAAGCCTTTCAAGCTGATTTTTTATAGTTTGGTCTTATTTTACACCACTAACTCCGCCACAATTTAAATGTGCCTGTTTCAAGTCAGGAGCCTATAATTCAGTCGTTTTCGTTGGTTAGTTTGTCGTATATGTTTTTCGTTTACTGGTTTATCATATAGCACAGTCCGCTATAAAAGAACCTGACATGAAAATGTGAAAAATTCAAACGATAAAACCAAACAGTCTGATTTAAGACAAAAAAGTAAACAAATAAGAAATATACCAGACAGAAACCAACAACAACCTCTAAATAACATGCTCGTGACATCGAACAAGCACATATAATATGTGGCAGGGTTGAACTAATATACATTATTTTAGGGAGCAGCTGAAGCCCGCCTCACGGTGCGGGATTTTCTATTAGCGTTGAAGACCCATTGGTTGCCTTGGGCTATTTTCTGCTCTGTGGTCGGCTTTTGTTCCCCGTTTTCGTTTTGTTGTAAGCGTGCAACAATCCCCCTTACATAAGAAAGTGGTTTTAGTATCACAATTTAAGAACAAACAATAAAATCAGTTGAAAATGGCTTGACTCATCAGATTAGTTCGGAGCGAGAAAAAAAAAACTCAACTAAAATAAAGACAAAAGACACAAAGATTGATCTTGGAGTTCTCGCAGTTACTAAACGGTAGTTCAAAACCTATAACAACTAACACATAAATCATGTTCTCCCAGACTAAAGTACCAATCAGTACATATCCAACAGATTTGGTGGTATTTAAGCTTTATTTATAAATAGTAATCTCATAAAAAGCCTGTTTTTATTAACTTCAAATTAGTGGAATTTATACTTTCAAACATGACTTTTACCTTGGTTTTGTTTATTATATATCAACACCCATATGCTTGATTTGAATACAATTTATAGGACAAATGAGGGCTTTATCGATTGTGCCATTAAATATAAATGTGTGCGTAATTGTGATGATGCGAGTTCTTAATAATTCCGTAAGAGATCTGTACAATCAAATAGTGTTATTAATCCGACTAGGTGGTTTCTAACGTTGAACACAGACGTACAATATCCTTCTTATTTGGAAACCGTTAGATAATTACGCTAGACCACAGCACAAATAGTTTGCGCTGATGTTAGGTTGTTCGAACCTGACACTTCTCAGTTTCACATTGATATTTTTCAATGCAACTTGACGTTTCTCAGTTCGAAGTTGACATTTTTTCAGTTCCAAGTTTACATTCCACACAATTTGGAACTTGAAAAGGTCAAATTTGAATTTGGAAATGTAAAGTTGGAACTGAGAAATGTGAACTTGGAATTGAGAAATGTCGACATTGAAGTAAAAAATGTCAACTTTGATTCGAAAAGTGTCGTGTTTGAAATGAGAAATTTTGTATCCGTGTAAACAAGCCAACACTCCCACCCTTAATATCTGTAGAATAAAGGGATGGCAGAAATTAAGAAGGTTTGTTCTAACAATAGAGCTAGAAAGAAGACTGTCATACTAGTAATCGAATGATACTGAATGATCATCGTGTTTTCTCTTTAGTCACTTTGACATAATATGTATATCGCTAATTAATTGCCAGGTGAGCTATACAATTTTTATTTGTTTGTACTTTTGAAGTCTAATTGTAGTTTTTATTATTAACTCAGTTTGACGCAATAACACTTGATGATTGAAAGCTGAATTAATTGTTATTAAAAATATGATAAAAGCTACAAGGACTTTCTTTAATAACTGATGTTGAAATCAGTTTACAGTATTATGAAGAATGGCACATCTGAAACACCAGCTGTGGATGACAACATTATTACTGACACAGTCAAGTGAATGGCTCCTCTAGTTGGCCAGCTCAGTATAACAATGTATCCTTAAATTAATTTACTGACTTTTACCTTGGTTTTGCTTATTATATATTAACATCCATATGCTTGATTTGAATACAATTTATAGGACAAATGGGGGCTTTATCGATTGTGCCATTAAATATAAATATGTGCGTAATTGTGATGATGCGAGTTCTTAATCATTCCGTAAGAGATCTGTACAATCAAATAGTGTTATTAATCCGACTAGGTTGTATCTAACGTTGAACACAGACGTACAATATCCTTATTATTTGGAAACCGTTTGCTAATTACGCTAGACCACACCGGATATAGTTTGCGCTGATGTTAGTTTGTTCATCAATCCAACCCTTATGGTAGTGTTCTGTTCTATAGAAAAGCATTAAGGAAATATCTATTTTTTTCTAGATTCATCAGAAAAAGTGACCAATTTATCACAACATTACAAACGGTTTGATTTCCACTATCTTACTTCGCGGTATATGGACTTATTGATAATAACGAAAGGAAAATAATTGATTTAACCTCACTAACAGAAATAGTGAAAAGCGCTACACGCTTGTTTAAACACTTTCTGCTCGGAAAGATATTATAAGAGTTCCCTCTACGACAGCCAATTAACCAAAGTAAACATGATTTCATTTGTTTTAAATTTCACAGATAAAACAATAATCTGACATACGAGGATAGATGCGAGCAAAAAATCAATTGGCAATGCAGAGAGTGTTGGAAACCTTGTCTTTTCCCGGAGTTTTATTGAGACACTGAATTGTTGGTTATCTATTAGATTTTGATGAATTCATGACCTGGACGATATACATCTTCCTCTGGGTATTGTTTTCTTATCGTGATAATATGAATGGATATTTAACGTGGCACGCAGGAATGAATCAGTGGACACGACTAACTTTTCAAAGGATTTAACCATGAACAAAACTCAGTTTCTTATTTTTATATTTTTAATTCATGAATGTGGAACTACTAGACAAAATGTTACTATTGCAGCAATTTTTGATATACAATATTATGACCATTTTAGTAGAATATTCTTTGAATATGTCACGGAAAATGTCACCCAGGAAGTATATTTACATGGAATTGCAACTGACTCGAGGAATAACATAGACGGAACGTTAAGAGGAATTTGTTCTTTATTTAAAGACAACAATATAGTATCATTTATAGTGATAGGATCAACACAGACTATACAGTCTGTAAGTCTAGTGACAACACCATTAAATATCCCAGTTCTGAGTTACAACACTGATAAAAACATGTTCATGCCTAAGGTAAGTACAAACAGATCATTAAACAATGTATGCTATCCCGGTATCGCTCCTCTTGGAGTTCATACGATTTTCCCAGTTTGTGTTTGTACCTTGATTTGTCTTTTTAATCGATTTTTTGAGTGTCGGTAAATTACTGTTGCCTTTATTCAATGTGTGTAATTAGAGATAGTAATATCATGCGCAGATTAATTAAAAATCAGCGTTTAATAAAATTTTACTGCAACAGCTGTTTTCGATGCTCAACAAAAAATATCTTGACGTGTGTTGTAACTCCACAAACAAAAAACGTGCACTGATTTAATTGCAGTGTCAACAGAGTATGTCACAAAATATCAACATATGTTCCCCCTTTGCTGATCGAAATGGTTTTAATCTATTTCAAAATATGTAAATATAGTCAAAACTATAGAGGAAGTTCATACTTTATTCGATATTGGACGAACATGATATATTGCTATTACAACATTTTGTAAATGATTAAAAATTATACTATAGTCCTTTATTGGTGTGACAGATTTGAACTTTTTCTCTAAAGTGTACTACAACAACTATAATTGGAATTCTACAGGCCTTTTGGAAGTAATAATGACAACATTGCCATGCTTCAGCTGCAGATGATGTTATACATGACAGCATATAGATTTATAATGTCATGCTGTTTTTCATTGACTTTCTTTTCCTGGTATAACTCTCAGATGCAAATTAATCTAGACCCGCTTGCCCTCGTCGATAAAAAGCCAGTAATGTTTAAGTGCTTGCCAAAGAGATCTCTATAATCATTAAGCTAATTCTTATAGACATAATTACGTAGAGTGCACAATTTGCCAATACCAGTTTCAGAAACTAAATGCTTTTATTTGAAATTAATGTAAATTTTCAATCGTACGAAGTGCGTAAAAATGTAAAGTTTGTTCATTATAGCTGAATCTGTTTTACGTCTATATGTTCCTTTTTTTTAAAAAAACACTTTTTTTTCCTCAATACAATTAAATATCTGTATACATTTTTAAGCATATATTCTTGAAACATTGCACAACATCCATTGCGCCTGGTATAATTTGATAAGGTTTACAACCACTGTGTCAATGCCACTGTTGTGGGCGTTTCGTTCATAAGGATATAAATAGGCCAGTCAACACTTCTCTGTAAATTAACTGTTTATAAAACTTAACGAGAAAACGAAACATTTAAATTTGTTCACCCTCTTGTATAGATGACCATAAACAGATTTTGCACAGTTTTTTTTAATGTTTGCTGTACAATGCTCTTCAATTGATTTGGCCTTCCAATTGTTTTGATTCGAGTGCCTTTAATGAGTCTTTCGTAGACAAAAACGCGCGTCTGGGGAACTGAATTATCAGCCTGGTATATTTCATGATTTTATACAACACGTTTGACGCTACTGCTGTTGAAAGTTTCGTCCCCATGGGTATAACCAGCTTAGAATTCAGCACTGTTGTGCTGACAGGCAACTCATTGATGGTGTAACTTTCTGTAAATCCACTGTTCCTTAAACTTCAATATTCTTCGAAACACTGAGGTTTTAATTTTCTAACCTAGGCAAAGATGACTTTACCAAAGTTTTGCACAAATTGTTCATTATTTCAAACATCGTCTAGCTTTGTTTTCTGTCGAATTTGTTTATCATCTCCCGTCGTCAAACTTTGTTTCTGTCAGATTTTATCACTATCTCGCCCGACGTCAAGCTTTGTTTCTGTCTGATTTTATCACTATCTCGCCAGTCGTCAAGCATTGTTTCAGTCGGATCTGTGCATTATCTAGCCAATCGTAAAGCTTTCTTTCTGTCAGATTTCTTCATTATCTCTCCCGTCGTCAAGCTTTGCTTCTGTCGGATTTGTTCATGATCTCACCTGTCGTCAAGCTTTGCTTCTGTCGGATTTGTTCATTATCTCACCCGCCGTCAAAATTGTTTTATGTCAGATTTGTTCATTATCTCACCCTTTGTCAAGCTTTGTTTCTATCGGATTTGTTCATTATCTGACTCATCGTTTAGCTTTGTTTGTGTCAGATTTGTTCATTATCTCGCCCATCGTCTAGCTTGGTTTTTGTTGGATTGTTCATTATTTCACCTATCGTCTTGTTTTGTTTCTGTCGGATTTGTTTATTATCTCCTTCGTCGTCTAGCTTTTTTTGTGTCAGATTTGTCGTTCGGTGAAATGATTAAACTCCCACAATGTTTTGAGATAACATCTGAAAAGAAATCAGTGGTATAAGTGAAAACAACAAAACTTTCCAAACGATAAAACTTGTCTTAGGTCTAGTAAAATGTGTATTGGTGTCCTGGAATAATATAAACAAATGCACTCTAAGTTAATTTTTAATTCAAGTGTTTCAGATACGTATAATGTCAAGGGAATTCATTGGCTTTTACTGTGCGTATTGCTATGTGTTTCATTATTCTACATTGGCTAGAGGTATAGGGGAAGGTTGAGATCTCACAAAACATGTTTAACCCCTCCGCATTTTTGCGCCTGTCCCAAGTCAGGAGCATCTGGCATTTGTTAGTCTTGTATGTTTTTTAATTTTATTCATTTATATGTTTTGGAGTTTAGTATGACGTCCATTTTCACTGAACTAGTACACAATTTTATTTAGAGGCAAGCTGAGGACCACCTCCGGATGCGGGATTTTCTCGCTGCGTTGAAGACCCATTGACGGCCTTCGGCTGTTGTCTACGCTTTGGTCGGGTTGTTGTCTCTTTGACATGTTCCCCATTTCCATTCTCAATTTTATCATTGTACGATTAGTTCCTATTTGATTTGTTACTTGGTAGGTTTTGAGAGATGAGTTATTGCTGGTTAAAATGGGGATATTATCTGCATGTACAAATCTCGCTTAAATAAATTCTTTATCAATTAATTTGATGATTTGATGTCTCAATTAAATCTCTTAGTACTAGTATTAAGCACATTTAAAACAGTTGTATACGCCATGGCTGTAATTCATAGAATATTTGGGAACAATTAGCATGTGATAGAACTTTTATGACTTAATGAAAGTGGTAATTTACAAGAACGGGCATAATTTCCTGTTTTATGTTTAAAAAAAAATACAATAATGTAACCAACTTAATAACGAGTTTATACACAGTGCAATTTGTTCTGGGAAATATGACTGCATCATATGTTGCGATGTCTAAGTGAGTCGATGCTATTAAATAATGGCTAGGGTGTAATAGAGAAGTTAAACTACTTCGAATCTTATTCTTTTAGTCCCACGGACAAATGTCTTAACTCTCTTTGATCGGTTCTAGTTCCCTTTTAGATGCTACAGTGTACTTTCAGCAGCATTTTACGGTGTTAGACGTAGAGGTCTTGTATATAATTTCATGTTTTCCAGTTTTAAAGATGGAAACTATAAATACTCGTTTTGAATAATGAAATCTATTAAAAATAGTTATTCATGCGTTTAGTTGTAGATGATACGATAAAAAAATATAGTTATTCTTTTTTAATATTACATACTTTTATTAACTTTTGTTCATAAAAGAAAATGATTAAGTTTTGAAAAAATAATGATATGAAGACTTCTTTTTTTTCCAAGACTTATTTTTTTAACAGTATACTTTACATACATATTTCATATTTGCACTAAATTTGACATAAGAAATGATGTTTAGCAAATTCCCAGGAGACTGTAATCCAGTCAGTGCCATAATGTTTTTATTATTAATCAGACCGTTCGTTTTCTTTTTTGAACTGTTTCACAATTTGCAGGGAATCTTTTATAGCTTGCTTTTTTAGTCGAGCGTCACTGATGAGTCTTGTGTAGACGACACGTGCATCTGGCGTACACAACTTTAATCCTGGCACCTATGATGAGTCTATTTACTTATAGTATACGGTATACATGATATACGTACGACAATCTAGTGTACGGTATACGTACGGCAACCTACTATAGTTTATCACATCCTTGTTCATTGGTCTTTTATATCAGTGGTATGAAAAACAAATAGAATTCTTGGCTAAAACATTGCTCTGTCGTAGTACATTATCTATTTATTATTGGTAAGGTAACCATGGACACATTTTCTTCTTTTTGCAAAAGTTAAGAATATTTTGTCACCATATGGCAGGTGTGTAGAAATGTCTTTACGTTTAACATGTAAACAGGAGATGGACATTACATTTTCATTATGTATATTTCTGCACTTCTGGTGAAGTCATTCAACTTTAACCTTCAATTTGTATCAAATTAATCGTACAAAATCCTCAAATGAAATTCTTAATGGCCATTTTATTGGATTATTCCTTACTTACTTAGCGCATGGTCTAAAATTTGTGATTGTAATGGGTTTAAAAATAAAAACATAATTGCTAATGGTGTATACAACTTTGCGTTTTAAATGACACAGAGTATGTATATACGTTGATTAAACGTCAGTTAGACGGCAGTCTGCCAATACAAACCAAAAAGGCATTTAGAGGTCAACATATTATCTATACTGATAGACAGTTATGTCACATTAAGAACTATCTAAACGGAAACACATGAAACCACACACTTTTCCTGTCTGGACCATGCAGTGATACATTTAGTTTGCAATCGTCTGTCAGTTAGCTTGACTAGAAATATCTGAAATCAAAGTTTTTTTTTACTATTTCCTGTTAGGAATTTAGCCGATCTATCCATAACCTAACCTCAGCTAGACGATCAATTATTGATTCGTTTGACTTTGGTTTGTGCTTTCAATTTACCGTAAGCGTACTTCATTATAATGTTTATACTAGCATTTGTACACGGATGATCATGCAATTGACTTTTCCATCACGTTTTTATTTTATGTGCTGTTAACTGAAGTTCCCACAGAAAAGGTGTTCATATTTATCAGCAAAGCAATGTTACCCTTGTCCTATTGTTTTAAAGGATGCTGTATTTTTCTGTATATAAGGGTTCTTGAGAAATTTTTCTAACAGTTTAGATTTTTTGGATTTTTTCATCAAACTTATTATGTATGTCGGGGGTCAGCCATAATG